ATGGGATGGGATCCATGGGATGGGATGGGATACAGAAGGGTCAGGGACAGGATGAATATGGGATGGATATAGGGATCAGAGTGGGGCCGGGATGAATATGGGATGGATATAGGGACTGGTGCGGATCCAGGGATGGGATGAATATGGGATGGATATAGGGAGCAGTGTGGGGCCAGGGCTGGGATGAATATGGGATGGATATAGGGACTGGTGCGGGGCCAGGACAGGATGAATATGGGATGGATATAGGGAGTGGTGTGGGGCTGGGGCCAGGGATGGGATGAATATGGGGTGGTGTGGGACTGGGATGAATATGGGATGGATATAGGGACTGGTGCAGATCCAGGGATGGGATGAATATGGGGTGGATACAGGGAGCAGTGTGGGGCCAGGGTGAATTTGGGATGGATCCAGGGATGGGATGAACATGGGATGGATATAGGGAGCAGGGCAGGGATGGGATGAATATGGGGTGGATACAGGGAGCAGTGTGGGGCCGGGGCCAGGACAGGATGATTATGGGATGGATATAGGGACTGGTGTGGGGCTGGGGCCAGGGATGGGATGAATATGGGGTGGTGTGGGGCCAGGATGAATATGGGATGGATATAGGGACTGGTGCGGATCCTGGGATGGGATGAATATGGGATGGATATAGGGACTGGTGCGGATCCTGGGAATAGGATGAATTTGGGATGGATATAGGGAGCAGTGTGGGGCCAGCGCCAGGACAGGATGATTATGGGATGGATATAGGGACTGGTGCGGGGCCAGGACAGGATGAATATGGGATGGATATAGGGAGCAGTGTGGGGCCAGGGATGGGAGAATATGGGATGGATATAGGGAGTGGTGCGGATCCAGGGCTGGGATGAATATGGGATGGATATAGGGAGCAGTGTGGGGCCGGGATTAATATGGGATGGATATAGGGACTGGTGCGGATCCAGGGCCAGGATGAATATGGGATGGATATAGGGAGCAGTGTGGGGCCAGGGTGAATTTGGGATGGATATAGGGACTGGTGCAGATCCAGGGATGGGATGAATATGGGATGGTTATAGGGACTGGTGCGGATCCAGGGCCAGGATGAATATGGGATGGATATAGGGACTGGTGCGGATCCTGGGATGGGATGAATATGGGATGGATATAGGGAGCAGAGTAGGGCCGGCGTGAATTTGGGATGGATATAGGAACTGGTGCGGATCCAAGGATGGGATGAATATGGGGTGGATACAGGGAGCAGTGTGGGGCCGGGGCCAGGACAGGACGATTATGGGATGGTTTTAGGGAGCATGGCGGGTCTGGGGCCATCCCATGACCGTCCCCCCGTCCCCGCAGGACAAGGGCTCCTTCTGCCTGACCTACGAGGCGTCCATGACGCGGCTGTTCCGCGAGGGCCGCACCGAAACCGTGCGCTCCTGCACGGCCGAGGCCACCGCCTTCGTGCGCAGCATGGCCGACCCCCGGCACAGCGTGAGTGGGGTCGGGAT